GATCACCTTAAATGAACAAATTTTTAGCTTTTAGACATTGTTTCTATATATTTACTACTTTTGATTACTTTTGAATATCATTAAAAAATTAATCGTATTTTTTGAGTCATAACATCGAAAATTTTTCTTACTTTTTGAGAAATTATATCAAAAAATTTGATTATTTTTTTTATTTATTTTGAATATTTGGACAATTTCTATATATTTTTATAATAGTTTCTTTCATATACAGTATCATATTACTTGCACAAAAAAAACCTAAATTCAATTCCAATGAAATAAATGAAGCAATTAGACTCTTTTCAAAGTTAACAAACCTTGATTTTGAGCCTGGCTATAAACATAATAATCATATGTATTTTAAATATTTGCTAATAGTAAAGATAATATTGCTTTTTTAGATTTTTATTATCCTAATGAGATTTTTAATAAATATATAATTCAGGTAGTAAAAAAGTGTTTCACTATTATTGATTATCCATTTGAAGTTTATGGGTTACCTGATACCTACAAATGTATTGGTGGAAGTTTGTCTCTTTGCCTGGTTCTGGATATTAATGTAAGATAGTACTCCAATTCTATAAATCTTAATCTTCCTTCCTTAGATGAAAAGAAAATTTCTTGTAAAAATTTATTATCTAGAATCTTAATTGTCTATATCAATATTATATATATCGATTTAAAAAATCACATAACTTTAAATTCTTTTGCCTTAGCTAATTCATTTAATATTAATAAATATAGTTGGCATATTGTATATTCCTATATTTGTTTTATTGACTATAGAGATCTTAGAGATTTTGTGAAAAAAGTTGTCGATAGGATTGAAAAATCATATTTAAAATTTATTGATATTATTTTTTAAAATAAAAATTTATTTTTCAATTCTTTTTTATATGGTTTATTCTATACATGTGATATAAATTATTTTGCTATTGATTTAATTGCCAAAATTCTTAAAAATAATTGCATTTAACTCAATTATTTTATATGTTTTAATATTGACTCAATTAATTGTGTCAAATAATTGCATCAAATTGTATCAAGGATCTACCAATTTCTATCACATGTATAGTTTATTCTATTTTAAATTATATTATAGCCACTTTGTGATTGCAAAGAAAAAATGTATAATTGTAATAAGATTGATACTAATGCTTTTATTTATGCCAAAAGATGTAAAGATAAATATCTAGCTAAATATAAATATATTTTGGATATTTACTTATGGTTATATAAAAATATTCATCAATGGAAAGCATCTTATAATGATATAAAGTAAAATTATAAGTAGTGTAACATTTATTCTTATATATTAGAAAGAATATATCAATACATTTTTGAAGATTTATTACAAAAAAATTTTCATCTTGTAAATCTAAATTTTTAGAAGGTTTATATATTGACAAATATAATAAAGAGTTAAATTTAGCTTTTAAATTCAACAGTAGTCAACATTATTAGATTGTATCTTTTTTTTACCCACAAGATCAAAAAGATTTGAATGTATAAATTTGACATAATTGGAAAAAAAGATCATTATATTATAGAAAAGAGGTAATTCTTATTACAATATCCTATTGCATCATTGACTTAGAAACTTTAATAAAAAATACCTTATATATGTTTAATTATCTCTAATATTCATTTAGAAGGTAACATAGGTTTTTTCTTAATATATATTAATTGTTCTTTAACAAAGAAACATTGAAGTTTTAAATTATCTAAATAATATAAACCGGTATCAGAGGATTCTTTTCAACAATAATTCTTTAAATTTTATGAAAGTTAGATAACTATATAGGATCTATTTTTCTATATTACTCAAAAGAATCATTTTTCTACTCCCCAGAAACAAGTAAAAAACAGATGGGGTAAAATCCGATAATAATCCACGGCGGTCTAGAATAGCTCATAGATAGTAATTATCTGTAATACATGTAAGATACATATGTGAACTAAATAAATTCATCCGACGTTGGGTAAGGCCCTGCTAGTCGTGTAAAAAAAAAAAAAAAAAAAAAATGTATATAGACAATTAAAAGAAACAATTTTTATTTTCTCTTAAACAATACATAGTTACTCTTGATAAGTCGGACACTCGATAAGTCGGATTTGGCTTAACTCGGACAAAATTTTCTGCCCCTTTTTTTCAATATTTAAAAATATTCGATAAGTCGGACACATATATAAAATCGCGATAAACCATAAGTCGGACGATCTTTTGATCGGGTTATAACAAATCTCTCTCGATAAGTCGGACACGTGATCGTTTAGTGATAATCTTTACCGTTTTAGTGTATACATACAATTAATTACCCAATGAAAATTTTCATCGTAGACAATATATTGATATTGTAATGCTATTACTATATATGCAATATTACTTCATTTGCTTGTCTAGAACGTGATTATCACAAACAACGTATTATATAATATGTACGAGTGTACCTGTTATTATAGGAAAATGTTATTATTACATTATAATTATAACGCGCTGTAACAATTTTTTGTGACGGGCTAGCAGCGAGCCTGTCCCTAGCTGGGAACAGAATTCGCGCAGCCGTCACTTTAGTTTTTCAATAAAAAAGAAAGAGAAACACTCAGAGAGGCGGATGTACGATTAATTCGACTGTTACTTAAATAACTAATTCTGCGAGAAATAAAGTTTTTGCCGAGCTGGTGTTAGGGTAAATCAATGTGAAAATGCATAGTGATTATGGTCGAGAATTTGGTTTATTATTAATTGTCATCGAATGTTTTTTTTTCGCAATCGTGATCGTGATCATGATCACGATCATGATGACATTTCAGTGTTTTTAATCGTTGGCCTTGGTCAATTCAGGTAAGTTGCGGCATTTTCTTTCTTTTGCGAGGTTCCACCGTTGGCTTCTACTTTCTTCTTACCAGTCTTTTCGTGGCCCCATGCTTCACGTTCGATTCGCCATCCGTAAGATTTTTCTTTACCCTCGGCGATATCCATTGTCCCTCGCATGTGCAGTCTTTCCTTAGCCCCATGCTTCACGTTCGATTCGCCATCCGTGGGATTTCCTTTACCCTCGGCGATATCCATCGTCCCTCGCATGTGCTACCGGAGTCTCGTCGGTAAGTTTAGTTCTCTGCCGTTGGTTTTTCGCCGTTCTCTTTTCTTTCGACGTCGCGGGTAGTTCCTTGGATTGACCTCGAACTCTATAGGTCTGTCATCATCCTTCTTCACTGCATACATTGCCCTTACGTCGTCGCTTCCTTTATTCAGCAGCCAATATTATTATTATTTTTTTTATTTTTTTTTTATCTTTTTTTTTTTGAATCTTCATCGCAGGTAGGTTCCACGATTTCGTCCATCAATTCCACTGGTGCACCAAAGTAATTATCTTTCAGTTCTTTTCATTGTCGTTTTCGGTAAGTTCACCGATTTCAGTATCGGCAGTACTATTCTTGCCAAAATCTATTTGACAAGCTCGTACACAATTCTGCAGAGTCAATTTTTCTAGGGGAGGTGCATATATCGCCGATCCCGTTATTATCGGTTTTTTTTTTTTTTTTTTAGGCTTCGTTTTCTTCTGCGCAAGCCGTTCCGGAACTCCTATCGTTGGTTTGGGAACTTCTTTTAGGTCGGGACGATGCTTCTCCCTTTATTCGGCATATAACCGCAGCCGAATCCTTCGTCTATATCGTCGTTGGAGCGGAGTTGATCGTTGCTTCTTGGGTCGTCGCGGACACAACGTCGCTTTCGTCGCTTCTTGAAGATTGAACTTCCTCGGAGTAATTTCTCAGGGAGATACGAAGCGTCGGATCTCACAAGGTGAATTATTAACAGGGAAGAAAATAAAGAATCAACGAAAATAATTAAAAATCGGAGGGGGGGGGGGTAACAACACGTCAGATCTCACAGTCACCACCAAATTTGTAACAATTTTTTGTGACGGGCTAGCGGCGAGCCTGTCCCTAGCTGGGAACAGAATTCGCGCAGCCGTCACTTTAGTTTTTTAATAAAAAAGAAAGAGAAACACTCAGAGAGACAGATGTGATTATGGTCGAGAATTTGGTTTATTATTGATTGTCGTCGAATTTTCTCTTTTTACAACATGGTTCTTTTATACATGAGGTCTAGTAATTACATAAGATTCGACAATGAAAATGAAATAAACAAAAGAAGAAAAAAATAAAAAAATAAAAATATTAAATTGCAGCGAAACTATTACATAACACAATCATCGTTTTTGTTACCATCTTACATAATTAATTAATTTTACCAAGCAGAGATGTGGCACATGACTTCGCCTGGTCTTTCTCTGCTTATGTTATATTCCCCACCAAAGCCTCCCATATCTTCATGTGCGCGCGACTATTGTTTCGTCGTGGCTTGTTTTAATTATGGCGTGCGATATGTCTTGGCATCTAGTGTTGGTGACATGCGCGTCACCACTTTCCCATGTTACAGCACTTACATGAATAATATATAACTCATACAACGTTGACAACTGAATCATTCGAATTTTTCTTGAAACACATTACATTAGTAAAATGAACATGGAAGGAACATCTCAACTTGGGAATAAAAAAAGAAAATTAATTACACTTACCAATCTTCAAAAAAAAGAATTGTGTAAATATAAAGCAGATAATCCAAGTAAATCGTATGAGGAGATTGGTAAAAAATTCGGTGTTGGCAAATCAACAGTGGGAGATATTATTAGAGAAAAAGAGAAGTGGCTTGCAGTTACCGAAAGTTCTACAGATGCCAATAAGAAACGTAATCGTAGTTGTGAATGGCCCCAATTAGAAGAAGCATTAGCAATTTGGGTAAATCTTGCGAATGAGGCTAATCATACAATAACTGGTACAATTTTGAGTCAAAAGGCAATGCAATTTGCTGAAAGGTTAAATATTCCTGATTTTAAATCCTTACAAGAAAGTATCAATTTTCTTTTGTATTATTGTTAAACTAATGAATAAATTAATTAACTAATTATTATTATATATAATAACTATCAAACATGTCGTATTTTAAACAGGGCTGGATGGCAAACTTTAAAAAACGAAATAATATTAAAGAATATTATAAATTGGGAGAAGCTGCAAGTGCACCGATTCATCAATTACCTGAATTTCGAACTGAGCTCCAATCTGTCCTTTCGCAGTACAATTTAGAAGATATGTATA